CAAAAAAAATAGTAAGCGTTTGTAAATTTTCATAGTTTTTCCTATATAGTGACATGACTCTGCAAGTAACTTTATTTGGGGATATGATTACCAATGAATGATCAATTTTTAAATGCACGATCAAAGATAAACATGTAATAGCACTGTCAGATTTCAAAATCTTTAAATATGAAGGTAACATATTTTACTTCTAAATTTTTTTATTAAAATTCACATTATATCTGTCTCAAATTTGTGTGGGAAATATGCATGTCATCGTAAATTATGTTAACAATACATATCAACCCAAAGATACAACTTATTGAAGAAATAAGAGAATGGTTAGTAAACCAAGCAAACATGAATATAACACAATAAAGAAAAAAACATTACACTTTGAAGCTAATATGCATGACTCATTTAGAATAAGCTGCTAAAATAAAAGCATATCCATCAAGGCTCTTTACAAATATAATACAAATTTATACTATTGATATATGCGATCATCACAACATTCAAAGAGGTATGTTCTTATAAGAGCTACTCTAAAATGTACACAATTAAACTTAAAAATACTCTACCAATATACAGACACGTTGTTGGACCTATAATGTAAAGATAACTATCATTTATAATATAGTTGAGCCGTGGTTCTAGCGAAAGGCTACAATAAGAAGGTGAATAGTGATGTTACTAAGAATGTCCAAATGATAATTGTCATAGAATCACTGATGATGTAATACTAATTTGAGTAATATCTCTTCATGAAATAAACATATCAAAATTAAATATTAACATTATAATATGAGGCAATTTGATAATGGAAAATACAGTTATTTAGTTCAGATTCTTGTGAAAAATGACTTGGACAAAGCAAAAAGGTAATATTATTAACACAATAGAAACTCTTATTGGATGCACACCAGAAAAAATTCGTTGCAGAGAAAAGAGGTAACACCTAACATTATTTAAAAAATAAATTAAAAACATAAAATTTTTATATATATGAAATTAACATTTAATCTCATTGAAACACAAAAATAATCAAAGTCTGTATTTTAAAAACTTTCTGTTGAATATCGAAAATACATTTAACTTCTTCTTTGTGAAGTAAGACGAGAAGACAGAAGATGAAAGAGCTCATGGAAAAATAACATCACAAGAAATCCAGCTCCAACCTGATGTCACAATCAATGTAGACAATGAAGACACAACTCTAGAATTGCATAGGTAGAAGATAAATGTAAAGAAGGATTGATCTTAACTTAATAAAAAAATGAAACAGAAAGAATAGAAGATTTGTTTTTCGAATTTTATAGAATAGCTTAATTTTTTGAGTAAAACCAGGAATATTTAGAAGGGATTCTCATCAACTCTTTTAAGTATTTTTATATGGTTATGTGGATGATTTTAATATATAAAAGTGTACTAGAGTTATTATTAATCTTTAATTTATGATTTATTCTTAAGTTTATGATGATTAGCAACAAACTTCATATTCTCTTTAGTTTCGCTCTAGCCCACGTTAATTAGTCATCTTGGCTTATTGGTTTTAATTATTCATCTTTATTTTATAACACTATTTTTAACTATTTTTCACTTTTACAACATTATACTTTCTCAAACCAAGCTTTGTTTCATGTTGGTCCAAATAATGTAAAAATTCAAATTAGTTTTAGATTACATATTTTTTCTAGCAATTCAATTATCAATCATGAAAATTTAAATTTAGTGTAGCCCATTCAAACAAACATCAAAGAAAATAAATAATTACAGAGCTAAAGTTTAAAGATATAAGTGAGCAAAAACAATCGAAGTAGAACTGAGAAATAAAATTTAGTAAGAAAATAAATTAAACATATTTAATCATGGTATTTAACCACGTGCATTGTACGTGCATAAAACCTAGTATATATATGAGAAAAATGTGTATGCTTGGTACAAAGCATAAACTTTGTGCTTGATAGTGAAGAAAAATGGGTATGTTTGGTACAAAGCATAAATTTTGTGCTTGGTAGTGAGGTCTCCTATAACCATCCACTCATTTTAATTCTCAACCACTCCCTAACTCATGTGAATGTGGGTCCCGATTTCAATGAGTGGATGAGAATATGTCACCTCACTATATATATATATATGAGAAAAATGAGTATGCTTGGTACAAAGCACAAAAATTATGCTTAGTAGTAAGGTGTCAAATTCCCTCCACTCATTCAAATGTGGGAACAAATTCACATGAGTAGTAATTGGATGGGGATGTGACACATCACTACTAAGCACAATTTGTGCTTGGTACCAAATTTTGATGATTCCGGGATTGTTGACGCCACCACCACCGTCACCACCATCACCACTAACCCCACGCTCTGGCTCCTTGCCTTCAAAGGTACTTGCACAAATATATGTACGTCATGCATATATGCTGTTCTTCAGTTCTCTGTCCTTGTTATGAATATCGATATAGTATTTTGTTTATCTTTCTCCGCCACCACCACCGTCACCACCATCACCACTAACCCCACGCTCTGGCTCCTTGCCTTCAAAGGTACTTGCACAAATATATGTACGTCATGCATATATGCTGTTCTTCAGTTCTCTGTCCTTGTTATGAATATCGATATAGTATTTTGTTTATCTTAATATCAAGATAATTCCTGCAAATGTTTCATATTAATTTCTCGTCTCTGTCTTCCTTTGCAGCTACCCACTACTCTGTCTCCGCCCCCGCCTCCATCGAACATCCCTCCACCAAGCAT